GTACGAAACAGGTCTATGCTGTCAACCAGTTTCGTGCTCGCAGGAAAGAAGAAAGCGAAAAGGATTCCTCCAAAAAAGTGACTGCTGAATTCTGTATGGAAGCGCATTACAGTTGAGTCGTTTTCCCTTTCCTTTCCATTCTTGTTAACATCTGCTGACTTCTTTTTGCTTGACACAGTCATCCCAACATCATTCGCTCGGTGGAGATCATATCGGAGCGAGGAAATTATTATCAAAGTGATGGGAATATGCAGAGTACGACCTCTTTTCGATCGTCATGACTGGGAAGATGAGCAGGAAAGAGACCTACTGTGTGTTCAAACAAATCGTCTCTGGGGTCCATTACTTGCACTCCATCGGGATTGCCCATCGAGATCTGAAGCTAGACAATTGTGTGATGTCACGCGAACGACGGATCAAGATCATTGATTTTGGGGCGGCGACGATCTTCAAATACCCGGGGGCGAAGAAAGCGAGTGGACGAGAAGTAGAAGAGATGTGGTCTTCTAGTGGAGGGGAGGAGGAAGAGGAGGAGGAAGAGGTGATGAAGACGACGGATGTGGTGGGCAGCGATCCATATCTGGCGCCGGAGATCCTGATCAGAGACAGTCAGGGAAACCGGGCCTGTGACCCCCGATTGGTGGATGTCTGGAGCGTCGGGATCATGTTTGTCTGCATGATCCTGCGCAGGTTTCCATGGCGGATCGCCGACTCACGCGCCGACCTCTGTTTCCGGGAGTTTGTCCGGAAAACGCATCCGTTGAAGATCGCCAGTCCCTTGGTCGTCTCTTCCCTAGGGCAGCAAGATCGGGCTTTCTTCGGAGGAGAACGACGGTATAGGGAAGTCGGATTCTCATCAGTCGTCCAGTCACTCCTCGCATCTCTCTGAACTGCGACCGACTGAGCCGAGGAAGAGGGAAGACCAGGCCGGCGACGAGCCGGTGCCACCGGCCAAGGTCCGGCTGGGTCGCGCGGCGTGTCCCTTGGTATGGGAGCCCAGCGAGCTCGCGAGGGAGGACGATGAGCTGTCGGAGAAAGACACGCTCTTCAGACTCTTGCCCAAGGAGTCCCGACTGACGATCTCACGGATGCTCCGGGTGGCCGTCGACCAACGGATCCGGTTCGACCAGCTCCTCTTCGACGACCATCTCGCCGTCCCTTCTTCCGATCACAACACCCCTTCTTCTAAAACTCCCCTCGATCGGGTCCGTGATCAGCAGATCTCCGCTTTCAATCTCACCGGCCTCGGCTGGCTCAATTCTATCCATACTTGTCTCGACCATCATTCGGCGTCTTCTTCTTCCCCTGACCATGAGCACGTCTTGGTCAGCAGTATCAACTCGTCAAAGTCTTAAATCTTCTTCTTTCTCCTGATTTTCTCTCTCTCTCTTTCTTTTTCGTTGTATTGTTCTATTAATTCTCTCGTCTCTCAGCAAATCATTTTTTGTTTGTTTTTTGTTTTCCATCCCGGTTTGTTTGATTACCTTTCTCTCATCACAACAACAACGATATTTATCAGTTAGATGCTTCCCTTAGTCGGAACGAAAAGAACCAGTCCATCCGACATCCTCCCGCTCATCACGAGCTCACTATCCACCCCTTCCCCATCCGCCTCTATCTCATTAGAACAAAAAGTACTCAATCGACCCACCTCGTCTACGGAACTTAATATCCTCATCCGCCGTAATCCAGCCCTTCCCCATCCTCTCTCTCTCTCTCTGTTTGTGTTTTTCCTTGTCTGAGTCCCCAGTGGGTTAGTTCATCTAGTATGTGTCGCCCAGATTCGTTTCTCTTCTTCTTCTTCTTCTTCGTTGTTGTTGTTGTTGTTGTTGTTCTCTTTTCTCTCTCTCTTCTTTTTTTGTGTATGTATGTACATCTCTATCCATTTTACGTGGGTAATAATAATCTATATTGCTTTGCTTTCGTTTCTCCATGTGTGTCTGTGTGTGTGTGTGTGGGGGGGGGGTCTGGGGTTCGCTTTCATGCTTGTCCCCATCCGCTCTCTTCTTGCCTTCCCTTTTTTTTTCTTTCGAGTCTTCTGGTACTTCTTCGTATCATTTAGGAACAAGATTCTTTCAGATCTTGCCGGCTCTCTTTCGTCGACAGCTTGACCAACCAGCCAAGAGGAATCAAAGCTCCTCCTAGGCTGGTCACACTAGCTGAGCATACTAGGCTCAAAAGGGCTAAAAAAAACCCTGTAAATAGGACGGTTCACGTCTGAACTTTGCGGCAAATTTAACGACATTTATCATTGAAATTTTGCAAATTAATCAAAAATCTCACATTCCGGCTCCAAACTTGATGGTTTGTGAAAATTTACAAAATTCATAAACTTTTATCTTCGAGTGTGTTAAAAGTTGCCTTGAACTTCAGATGTGAACCGGCCTAATACAAAACAAAACAAAAACAAAAAAATCTATTTTCTTTTTTTTTGCTCAAAATATCAGACACCCTCAAAATCCAGGGTTGGTTTTTGCCATCCGTAACTGTATATCATAGGGAAACCATTGAAGCGGCTTAAAGAAAAAACGGCTCACATTTTCTAGCTGACAAGTCGGAGATCAGGACAGAATCCATCCAACTGCTGAGGGGTTTATCTAAAAGCCAGCCCAGCCCCATGGTGTAGTTAAAAGCTGGAATTTACTCAACCAAGTTAAACTTGGTTGCATCTCAACCAATGAAATATGAATCCAAAGTAGGTAGGTAGCTTGAATTTATATTTCATTAGTTTGGTTTCAACCAAGTTTAACTCAAACTTAACCCAAGTCCTGATTCCCTGCTATGGGCGGCGTTGGCCTGTGAGTGGCCTCGCCACTGTCACATTGCGCCGACCTGAAGAAATTTAAGTCGATGAAGGGAAAAATCGGCGATGCCGAAAGCAGACAGAAGTCTGATACAGGTTATTTTTGTACTTAGTCAATCGGGCTTAAGTGCGACAGACAAAGGCTAGGAGGAGGCTAAAGTGTCCTCTTAGGACCAGTTAAAAATAGTAAGAACTGATGATTTAATTCCTTAATATCTAGAGATCTTTAAGTAGTCTAGATACATCATTGATCAACTTGTGGGACAGAGTGATTCAAAATGAATAAGAAATCAATTCATAATTTAAAAAACAAAAGAGTGACATGGATGTGAAATGAAGGAGAAGGGAGATCAATAACAGGTGAAATTCCAACACGACCGAAGGGAGGGACTTGTGCCTCAAGTCCCCCTCCTTGAGTGGATCCTGAGAGGCGATTCCACGCTTTTTGGTGGTGACAATCTTTCCACCTGTGCCAGATATTGACCCATTGAGCCAAAACCTCAGCCAATGGGTCAGATTCAAGCTCTACATCTGCTCTTTTGGGCTACATAGTTTTTATTTTGTGTTTCCCATTATTGAAGGAAACATAGAGGATGGAAATTATTGATTTGTTGTAAAAAAAAAAAAATCCCTACCGTCTTCCAATACAGCTTCAGTATATGGAAGATAGGTGGATTCATGTGTATGCAAGACATACTTTACCAGCGATTTTGCCAGCCAATGAATGACTTTCTCGGGGAACAGAGGAGTCATTGGTAGCTCAAATAAGACAGTTGAGGCCTCTGTGCCTGCGCAAGATGCAAACCTCCTCAAAATTGCTGTTTGTCTTGGTGGTTCTCATTCAAATGGCCCCATTGTGGAAAAGAGTGGTTTTTTGTGTGTCGGAAGTCCCAGGATCCACGCCAGACTTGCGGCTTTTGGGGCAAGCCTCTCTGTGAGACAGAGACCCTTAGGGGCTGCCCTCCGGGCTCTCACTCAGAGGCTTGTTTTATCCTTGAGTTTAACTTGGTTGAGTGGATCCCAGTTAAGCTTGGATACCCTCAACCCAGCCAATTATGTTGGCAGTGATGTCCTGCACAACACGTGTACTTGCAGGTCTTCTTTGTCTGACACTGTACTGTTCTCCTTCTCCCTTACCAATTCCAAGACTAATTTTGGGCCCTATCAAGCTGACTGCAACAGAATTCAATTTTTTGTCAGATTTCCAGTATCAAAATGGCAATGTGGGCATAAGCCAACACCAACAGTGAAACCGATCTGATCCAATACAATAATATATCAGTCAATTTATTGGATTGGATCAATTGTTCAATACCAGGTATTGAAAAATGGATTGCCCTAGCAATCTGATCCCGTGGTATCAGATTGAAATGTCACCAGATCGGGATTGGGATCACATTGCAATCCCAATCTGCCACCCAAAAGCTGTGTTGGAATTTTGTCTCCTTCTCCTCATCCCTAAAAAATCTATCTATCTCCCCTTTCTGATTTAATAATGTTTAGATGAAAAAATTATTAATTTTATCATGTCTTGTAAGTTTCTGAGTGGCACCTTTTCTCATTGTCTAGTGCTGCAATCCCTGTAGTCTTCAAACCTGGGTCTAGTCTTTATCATTGAGTATTTGCTCCTGTCATCTTTTCATGCATGTGTTAAATTTTTATTCATTTCTTTATTCATTTTACTCTCACCCACATGTTTAACCTCTTGTATGTAGACTACTTAACGCCCAGTCTCCTCTAAGTAAAACATCATCGGTTCTCTCCCTCTTTTTTCGACCCATGAGCCTTTCCAACAAAAGTATTTTGTTGCCCAAATAATTCTCTTGAAAATTTCCTCCCCATCTCCGGCTGTACTTTATTCAAGCTGCAGGCCACTGTAAGAGCTGTGAATGCTCTTCACTGATGCTCTTAGAGATTGGTCGGGACAAGGCCTTTTGCCTTGGAGAGAACTTCTAGTACCACAGTCGATTTAATTACTAGCATCGGTAGGAGGAAGAACTCTCCGTCGGCGTAAGTACAACTAGAATTCTGAGAACAGGGAAGAGAAGAGTGGAGAAACAAGAGATGGAAGACTTACCTAGCATTTGTAGGAGGAAGAACTCTACAGAGCTAGGAAGGGGAAGGGGGAGTCAAGACTAAATACAAGGCAGAACACTGCTTATGTAATCTTGTGACAGGTTTGTGTAAGCCTGTGAGGAGCAGGGCTTACAGCCACGTGCCTCACACTTTGGTATCATCCAAAGTGTAACCAATCTGATCCCCGGTGTGAGAACTCCTTTGGGAATGGTGGCAGTCCTGTGAGGGGGAAATAGCAGATGAGATATATCACGTATGTAATGATCTACTACAACTGTTACGGCTGGTTTGAAAGACCTGCCCCTCGATTGTACTACACAAGAGTTAACACAACAATTTATTTTATTGTTGTGGCAAAACTGATGATAGAGAAAACTATGTGTAGCAGTCTCTTATCAAACCTAGATCAACGTGGATTCAGCAGACTATTTGAGTGGAAATGTTGAGTAAGAGGTGTTTTTCTGTTTATATGTTTATGTATTTTGAAAAATGATTGACGTATGTACTGATGTTAAATGTTTATTTATGAGATGATATTGTGGAAAAATGTGACTATTGAAAGTGTCTTTCCCTTCCTTCTTGAATCTTAGTCAAGAGCACAATGGTTTAAGATCACTGTCTCTTGTTTAAGATCACAAGTTGTACTGGTTGCTACTTTCTTTTTCCTATGCTTCTCAATGGCTTGAATGATCTCAACGGGGCACTTGATTAAGATCACACTGGTTAATGTATAGATTGATTGCTCTGTTCTGTCTGGTTGATGATCAGATGAGATGATGATAAATTGGAATGAGGGGGGAAAAGCCCCTCCTTAAATAGTCTATTTTACAACCCGGCTGACTTGTGGTTCTAGCCCTAACCTATAATCTATAAATGGCCAACTTGTGGTTCTAGCCCTAACCTATAACCTATAATTCATAAATGGCCAGCTTGTGGTTCTAACCCTAACCTATAACAAATATGCATAAAATCCGGCCAAATTGTGGTTTTGCTATCTATACAAGATTCTCTGTGTACCTACATAACAATGTGGCCAACTTGTGGTTACCCTATGCAATGAATATTGAATATGTAAACAAACTAAGGCCAACTTGTGGTTTGCATTATGCAATAAGCATTTTGTATGCCAATAAAACTTAAATCCCAAATAACTTTTGAATGAGTGGAGCTAGCCTAGTGGTTCCAGTGAGTGACTATGGGTTAAATGACCCGTAGAATGTGATTATGCCATAATACGCCTAAGAATATGTGCCCTTCTACATATTGGACTATGACTTTATGCAATTTGATACTTGAAACACAATTGGCATACTACAGCGGACCGACCATCTCTAGTTCTGCTCTTGTTCCTCCAGTGTCAGTGGCACATTGAGCCCTTTCCAGTGCTACAGAGCCCTCTGAAACCTACCCTCATTTTTTGTTCTCTCTCTCTCCCTCCCTTTGATTGGTTCCCATCAATCTAGCAGCCACTAAAGACTGATCTTTTCATTGACCCAAAACCATGCTCAAAGTGAGCTTGTAATGGCTTCACCTGTCCAAT